CGATAAATAATCTACACCAATACACTGTCTCTTATTTGTAAATTATTCTGTATTCAGATTTTGGTACCATATTGTATAAGTGTCGAAAAATAATTTCCAGTATTTAATACACTACATACATTACTTATTAATGAACCTCATATACAACTTTAAACATGTAAATCTATTATAATGCACATAAAATCCTAGTAAAACGCAGTAGTAAAGCCGAGTTATTGTTATGATCTTTAACATAAAATCCAATTGGTAATATCAATATATACAAACAGACTTTAGGAAAATTCTCACTAAACCATGATTGTGTGGTTTGACTCTAAATAAAAACAACCATCTTAACATTCGACTTATATGTTCCAAATTGAACGAAACCCTAATACTACCTTTTAACTACAAGCAGCAATTATAATACGGGTGTATAAAACAGACTTTTAGTGCCGGAGAAATAACCAACAGAATGTCAAACGCTCATAGAACATAATGATCGGAAACCATGAGATAAAATAATTTCTAAGATAAATATTTAACTAATAGTGTGTATGAATATCAGTTTTTATAAATTTTACTGAACAATGACTTAAATTTCTTGTTTCTATATAACCAACCTCATATAACTTCGACTTGCACACTTTTCTTATAAATATGCATACACATTATTTTTTATTTTTAGTTCAATGTACAATATCCTCGGACATAAATGCAAGTTTCGAATAATAGTATTTATTATTATATTTGTGCTTTTATGTAGATTTTAGCCTAACACTATCTCCTAAAAATTACTATAAATGTCATCATCAAGCTTCAATAAATATGGTTTATTGAAAATTTCTTGGTAGATACCTTTAAGTAGACTTAGTTTACAATAAGTTTTAAACTTTTATGGTACCAAATTTTGCATCAAATCATCAATACTTCTTAACAGCATATGTGTATTTACAAACGTAATAATTATAGAAATTGAGGAGCGTATTTTGACCAACTGAACACAGATGGTTTCTGTTGAATGCAGTCGACGTATAACCAGACCCCACTTTTATTAATTCTTTATCTAATTTCGACCAAATTTATCATCAAATTATTTTTTACGATGCTTCAAACCAAGATGAACAACTCAAAATTATAGTCTGGCATCGTTATACATAATTTATTAAACGAGTGCTCAGTGGCAGAGTTGGAAATATGAGTATATTTTGCAACAAAAAATCTTTTCACTGAGATACACAAGTTTTGAATTTCTTGATCCACGCAACTGACTGCTCTCATTCAGTAATGAAACATACACTTTCTGTATTCGATATAATTCCATAAGGTTTTTCTGAATTTATAACTAAAGCAAACTTGAGTTATGAGACGATTCAATTCAGAAACTATTTTCAATCATCTCCACAAAAATAATCAAATAATATGATTTAAAACCACTATATAATGCAATATGACAAAGGAATATGTAATCTGTATTTGAATCGTTGAACACTAGACAAATTCACATTCCGACGTGAAATATAGATACCAAACGAAAGTAGTTCCTAAATAACGTTTTGATAGTTCGAATACAAATGAACCGAACATGTTTGTCAATGAACCCATTTTGATAGATTAAATGTTTTTTGGCATAGCATTTTGGTTAGTTACATTGATTTACTAGTAAAGAGACGAGTTACTTCATAAGGACCTTTATTTCTGAACTAAACCATTCTTTAGTTGACCGAATAAACATTTCACTCTTCTTAATAATACAACATTACCAATTTATAATTCACAGATTTGAAAACTGGATTCAGTACACTAGACGATTGGTTTAAAGACCTCCGGATACCCGATGAAGACCGTGCCAAAGTTAGTAACGTATTGGTACTTATCCTAGTTCAATTTACATTTTGCCCCAGATATTAATTTCATGCTTTTATGATAACACGGACTTTTGCTGAGTATCCCCCCCAATTTTTAATATGGAAATGTTTTATTCATCAGGAGAAACAAACAAACACTCATGGGGCGACTGGCTATAACACCGTCTGCGTCCCAGTTTAACTTTATCTGAGAAATGACAGAAATGTCTGGTATTTTCAATCAATCATTTCTCGATTGTAAAAGTTCTTATAGATGAACCTGACAAATGAAGGATCTGCAAGAAATGTAGGGATTTGCGGAGCGTTTAATACACGTAAGCACAAAAACCTAGTTTAAGAATATAACGCGAAGTTATTGAGTCCGTTTATGAATTGTATGATCCCGATGAAATGGTTAGTAAAGATCTTTTGTTACGTACATGAAAAGGTAGCTTGTTATTTATCAACACATCACTGATAACACACTTACAACGGTTAATAGAACCCAAACGGATATGACGTCCAAAGACAAAACTGAATAGTTAGATCTTAAGTGACTGGAAAATAAGTGACCTACAAACTAGTTTTTTCCAACCATTTAATAGTTTATTATATTTTCTATACAAACACATCATTTTATTACTTGGAAAATCTATTCAACTGACTGGTGATAGTCTTATTTTTGATTTCTAATCGTTCGAAAACTTAAGTCAATAAATAATAAGGTTTCTTGAGTGACCATCAATCAGCCACATTATATCATATCCTATTCATCGACCGATTAGCGTCCTACTCATTGATTTTGATAATTGAAAATCTCGCCTCATCAGATCGCTATAAACATTTTCCATAACACAAACGTACAACTTAAATAAAACATCCGGCTTGACCTTCCTCCGTAAAACACTAATTGGAAGTATGTCAGGTATCCTGAATTGTTAACCACTAATATCGGTGGTTTACTTACAGCCGCTAAATGGGTATGAATTCTAATCGTAAAACAGTGGCCTCAAAAATCTTGAAGACAAAGAAGATTGGCATTTTCAGTTAATAAAAAAGTGGTAATTGCAAATTCCAGATGAAGTAGAGGCGCAAAACATCCTATAACTTCACTGTAATTCTAACAAAAAATGTGTTCCCAATAAATAACGAAATCGCTAACAACATCATTTATTGTGAGACATAAGTAAAATGATTAATAAATATTTTTCAGCTTCGTCGAAATCACATTGTTGATGAAGAAGACTTCTTAGATGCTATAACGAAAGAAGACTTGTGGAAGATGAATTTAAGGTAGGTTTAGTCATGAATGTTGAAGCATGATTCTAGATGTAGTTAGTTTTCAAATTACAGTTAAAACAATTCTATTATATCATCGTTGAGAAGTTCCAGGCTGCGGAATGACTTCTTGATACAAAATCTTTATAAAAATTAGTCCCTTTTATAATTTAGAATGTGTGATGACAAAACGAGGTTGAGCAGAGAATATAAGATTTACTTCAGCAAGAGATATCATGCACTCTGGCCGCATATACACTTGTCAGAATACATATACAGAAACTAACATGGTTAATCAGATGAATGGTCAAATAAACACAGTGATAAGTGAAAATATAAGAGGAAGATGTGATGGTACACCGCCAAATTCATTAAAATGCATTAGGATTATCAGGCTAGATTCGGTATGAGAACAAATGGTATTTGTACATATGAAAAAAGTTTACATTTTCTAATGTCAGCTTGCATGTAACTAAACGACTTGGACTTCGCAGATCACCTGACCCTTCTATCCCATACATACCAACAAATGCAGGTCAACACAACCAGTGTATCAGCGGCAGCAGCCTCTGCATCAATGAGCCTCAACATACACAAGGCGAGAACCGAGATCCTCAAATACAACATGGGGAGCACCGACCCAATCACATGATGGAGAGACTCTGGAAGAGGTTGAAACGTTCACGTACCTGGACAGCATCATCGATGAACAAGGAGGATCCGATGCAGACGTGAAGGCGAGGATTGGCAAGGCAAGGACAGTATTCCTACATTTGAAGAACATATGGAACTCAAAACAACTGTCAACCAACATCAAAGTCAGAATCTTCAATACGAACGTCATGACAGTTAGTTGTACTGTGTGGAGCGGAAACTTGGAGAACTACCACAATCATCATCAAAACGGTACACGTATTCATAAACAATTGTCTACACAAGATACTCAATGTCCGTTGGACGGGTATCATCAGCAACAGCCTACTGTGGGAGAGAACGAATCAGCTTCCAGATGCAGATGAAATTAGGAAAAAACGTTGGAAGTGGATAGGACACACATTGAGAAAATTATCAAACTGCATCACGAGGTAAGCACTGATTTGGAATCTTGAAAGAAAATGAAAAAGATGAAGGCCAAAGAACACACTGCATCGGCAATTGGAAGCAGGTATCAAAAGGATGAGTAGCAACTAGAAGGGGTTACTCAGGACAGAGTTTGATGGAGAATGCTGGTGGGTGGCCTATGCTCCTCCACGAGGGGTAACAGGATTAAATAAGTATAAGAATAACAAAATTATCTGTACATGAGTATGTAAAAAGCGATTGAGCCAAATTAAAATCTAGTATTTAGTAAGCTAGGGGAATTTAAAGTCTTTGATGGATAATAAATAAACTATTTTACTACTGTAACTGAGTAAATGAAAGCAACATACCATTAAAAAATATGTCAGATAATCGTGGATGTGCTCGTGACGAACGGTATTTGAAACACCATTCAGCAAATAATACAGCATAAGCATGTAAAAGCAAAACAGTACTAACAGCAGGCTTTCCAAGTGTTCAAATTTAATTGACGGCACTTTTTTATTTTCATTTCAGTGGTGGGACAGTGCTTCGCCTTTGGAGAAACATACAGAAAATCCGTTCAATGGAATAATATCTTCATGAAAAATTCCATTAATTCTGATTACGATTATTCTACAGAGCCTATATTTTTACAAAGAAATTTTATCTCACACCTTGATACCAAAACCTAAAATGTGCCTTTATTTTATAGTAGTATTTTAAAACCCATAATGCTCAAATATCAAAAAAGTTACACCGGATGCAGCTTAAAATACTGTTTTGATTTTTAATAAGTGTCTTGTCATTGGTAAACTATGAAAACATAATAGAAAGTCTCCGATCAAAGATGTTTTATTTAAGCAGTAAACATATATGATGTTTTATACACTGATATATTCTTAACATTAACACATGGAAATTTAGGTTATCATTCGATAATGATTTGTTAATTGAATGGAAATATTACTAGAACGATAGCTGTAAACGAACCGCAAATCAGGGAACAAATAGTACAAAACACTAGAAAAGAAACATTGAATCATTGTTATACGATGCAGAAATCAAGGGAAAACAACCTGAAACCTAAGGAAATTTCACGTCATTATAGAATATAACAATTCATGGCTATCAAACAGTACGTGTTAATGAGACAGAGTTGTGTAGTGGTTGTATTTCTTCAATATAATCCAAGCCTAAACTCTGCTCTGAATCAACAGTTTGGTCGACTGTATCATCTGCCACCTAGAAAGAAAAAACAATGAAATATATACACGGTTAAAGACTTTGTATTGGGTTGAGATGGGATAATTCAGCAAAACAATAGGCATACAATAATGACAAATATCAAACAATAATAAACATGAAGTCGTTATATCTACTATTCCTATAAAACAAACACGAATAGGATTAGTCTCATGCTACCGAGAGAAGCATGATAATTTCCAGCCATGGCCAATTCACCTACAAATCTTAATTCATCTGTTAAGGTCGGAAAGTTAAATGATCAATTTATTTTTTAAAATTAGTATATTACTGCTCCACAAGAAGTTTCAAAATCCAAACAATCGAATCATCTTTAGGACTTACTGTAAACGTCCGTCCGTCAGAGACAAACCACATTCATGACCAACCGACCAGATATTAATACTTCATTAGGTTCCGGTACACAGATGTGGCACTCTCCATGACCTACGGTATACATTCGAGATTCAGGCCAACACACACATCAAACACAATTCGTTGATTCAGAATCGATGTCGCAACATAACATCTAATTACAAGGAGAGGATCTATCGAACCCATAGGAAACATTTGTCATATCAGACAAGCACAAAGTTGCAAAAACGTTATAGGTTCTATGTTTAGTTAAAAATCCGGTAAGAGAATCCAGCGAAATAAAGCTTCGACACTAAGTGGACTTTTTATAGGCACATTCAATAGGTATCACCCATGATTACTGTAATTTCACCAAAGCTACCATTCTGATAAATTCTTTTATCAGGCTTTATATTAAAGGGAACCAATATTACTTTATACTTGGTCCTGTACTGTTCCAGATGGGTTGATAAATGGAAACTGTAAATGTTTGACGCAGAACTAGTGTTTTATGTTCAAAATGTCTTTAATTTATTTATTTGAACACATAAATATTGGTACAAGGGGGCACCATATATATATATATATATATATATATATATATATATATATATATATATATACATCATAAAACATAGCACGTCGGGGCAGTCGGTGGTCGGGAATGCGCAACACATGTCCCAGCCATCTCAACTGATTAAGTTTCACTACTTCCTCAATTGATTTGCCATCCTTACCTAGTACCCGTTTCATAACAACTGCATTACTTACTCGGTGGTCCCAGGATATACGAGCGATGTTTCGAAGACACCTATGGTCAAATACTAGTAACCTACGAATATCCTCTACTCTTACTGGCCATGTTTCACTGCCATAAAGTAGGACGGAACGAACTGCTGCGCAGTAAACACGTCCTTTGGTTGGTAGACGGATATCTCGCCTACGCCACAAATGACGCAAGTTGGCAAAAGCTAGTCGAGCCTTTTGTATCCGTGCTGAGATTTCGTCACACACCAGACCACAAGGGCTGATGAGACTTCCGAGATAAGTGAAGCGGTGGACACGCTCAACTACTTCACTCCCTATCACTAGTTCGGGTGTCGACGCAGCCCAATCCTGAAGCAACATTTTGCATTTCGAGGGAGAAAATCGCATGCAATCACCCTCAGTAAAATATCGTAAATACATCTATCAGTTTGAAAAGTTAAGTTGAGAAGTCTCCCAACACGGAAAGATAGGTATAGATACCACCGCCTCTTCGTCATATCTGCCTGCGCTCCCACTAAATACAGTCTGGATAAAGTAATAGATAGGTTTTATGGAAAGCTTTCTACTCTCTTAAAAAACCAAACAATCGGACGTAGTGATAATAGCAGGAAACTTAAGCGCCAAAGCACTTGATTTAAATTGAAGTGAAAGACGCTTAGGTGGGTTTTAGTGTCGTAGTTTAACGAATAGGCAAAGACGATCGGCTGACAACGATCAGACAACCATTTATTCCTGTTAAGTACCACCTTTAAGCATTGAGAGACATTGTCAGGCATGGAGACCCCCGCAATCGACTCAACGATGGACGTGAATAGACCATATCGCCATCAGCCATCGTCGGAAAGGCTCGATAGAAGACCGTCACTCATTCTAAAGAACATGTTTAGACTCTGATCATGCTCTGGTACTGACACATGTCTGTTTGTGACAGACTGGATGCAGAAAAACCATAGCAAGAAAACTCCTTGAAGTCCAACTTAACTACGAAAATGTCAAGACAATATTTCATAAACAAATGGGGAATCAGTTGGGTGATCGCCAAAGTGACCTATGTTCACCCTGATGTAGGTTGGGATTATATCCAGACAGCTGTGAAAACACCAGTGATATCTGTGGGTGACTAAATCCAAAAGATTAAGAAAAGTCAGTTGATTTTAGTAGCATCTACCCAACTGATAGATGCTCAAAAACTCAGCACGCAATGATCGTGAAAAGTGGTGCGGGGATAAGGCAAGAGCGACAGGAAAGACGGTGGCGATATGCAACAGTTGATAACTTTCCAGATATCAAAGAAACGGGTATTAAATATTCGAGAGTCACTAGAACTATTTCTGAAAAAGATGAAACAATGATTTACTCTCAACCCTGCAGACTGCGACGGTGGGTAGAACGCTTTGAGGAAAAGTTTAGCTGCTTTACATTCACCCTTCAGTTACCTACTTTTACCAAGCAACCTAACTGGAATGTTAACATAAGCCTCAGATCCTCAAAGAAGTTAAATTCAAAACTAATCTAAGAAAAGAGATAGCAGCAGGTCCTGATGGATTAGCCCGAGACTTTTAAGGATGGTGGTCCAGTCTCAGCAATTAGATTGACTGAGTCCTTAGCTAGAATCTGGGTAATGAACGTAATCTCATCTAACTGGTCTCAATCGCCGATCGTTCCAGAAAGGACAAAAATCCTCTTGTGACAATCACAGAAGAATCAGTTTGGTTAATATAGTGTCTAAAATATTACTCTCAACAATACTTTGACGACTAACGAAAGCTCGTGAAGAGCGAACTCGAGAAAACCAGGTTAGTTTTAGACCTGGACATGGATGTATGGAGCAAATATCCGCGCTACCTCAGGTTCCGGGGCGCAAGCATACCCACCGACTCGCAACCATAGCTACATTTCTCAACATCAAAGAAACATTTGATTTTGTAAATCGAAAGATTTTATGACAGTGAAAGATGTACCATAGAAGTACATTAACTTTGTACAGGCTCTCTATTCGAACACTACTGGTCGAATAAGAGTTGTCATCAGAATTTATTACTGGAAGTGTTCTTCCGGGTTGTCTCTTTTCCTCATTTTTGTTTAACTTTGTCACAGACATGCTTTTAGAAGTACCTCTCTCGTCGTCTAACTTCCAGGAGTTGATATACCAGGAAATTAACTTATTGACCTATAACACGCAGATAATATAGTTCTGTTTGATGAAGACACTGACAACATACAGTCTTCTGAACACCTTAAGCAACAATGCAACCATAATTGGGATGAGGTTCTTTCACTCCAAATGTGAGATGTTACTTTTGGATTATTTATTTATTTGAACACATAAATATTGGTGCAAGGAGGCACCAAATATATATATATATATATATATATATATATATATATATATATATATATATAGGTCGAGTTTAGTGCCCAGCAGTCTGCTCTGTTCTACTTTATGGATGTGAATAGAGGATATTCGTAGGTTACTATTATTCGACCATAGGTGTCTTTGAACCACTGCTCATGTATTTTAGGACCATCAAGCTAGCCATCCAGATGCTAAATAGTCAGTCATATGATGAGACTGCAATTCAGCAACTGCTATACACTTGGACGTTTGTGATTGTATCAGAACAGAGAAATTACCTAAGCTGACAAGTGGTGTTATTCAGGAATGTCTAATCCTATACTCATGACAGCTGTCACAAATTTTCCATAGAAATATACCTTTCTGTTTCGCAATTCTCATAGATTGTGAAATTAGTAAGATACACTCTTACAAAGTTTCGCTAGTTTGCACTACTGTACCATGTTTAGTCAGTCAGTAACAACGTGGAACTTCATACGTACGTACATCAGTTCGGGTTGCCACACCACATTAGCACAGAGATGCAGTTGTCGATTCGAATCCCGTAGTGGTAGAGGTAGTAACAACTTAATCACTTATTTTATCTGGATGGTTACCATGGCGCAAACATAACCGAAATAAATGGGTATTAGTAAATTTATGCTGATTTTATTTCTAAAGTTGCATCAGTAGGTCTATTAGAAAGAACTACATTACAAAACTCAATGAAAATTTACCGTATATAACGTGTCTATTTAAAAGTGGCTGACGATTGGAGAACAAACAGTTGGACTACAAACATGTACATGTACATTGTTTCCACAACTTTACATTGAGGAATCTAAGCGTTAGATACCGAATGTGATCTAGAGGTTAGGCGTTCATGTGAGAGACAAATGTCCTAGGGTAGTGGATGTGCACTACTGAAGAGTCCCAGACTAAAAAGAAACGGCTATCTGGTGCTCCCAGGATCTAAATAGTGGTTTAACTAAGATTAGTTCGTCCCTTAAACTATGAAAATCATTTTCTACCTTGTTAGTATACATCGTCATGTTTAAAAGTATTAATCTTTTGGTACTCTAGATGAACTTTTCTTTTTCTGTTTTGTCAGTGTGATAAAATGAAATAATATATTACCACTCCATGCCTAACAGTATCAAGTTTTTATCTAACTTGTTACTCTGTGATATGTATGTGTACAACCATCAACCACGGCATAACAATAGTTATGACGCTGATCCATTACCCTCATTAAAACAAAATAACCCTTTTTGTGGATGTATTTAGAGCTAAAAGGTCAGTTTCAATGCACTAATCGCTTAACCAACTGGAATAATCCATTAGCTGGACTTTTATTAACTATCCTAATCACTTTGGTAATTTATGGCATTCTAATATATTAGGTGTAAGTAGTGAAAAATATAACCGTTTCCCTTCAACATAATTCTGTGGTTCCTTATTTTTATTACCAATGATAATAAGCCTCCCTTTAATCTCATTTGAAGTATTGTTTCAATAAGTCTGAGAGATTGCGTTGCTAAAGTGGTACGTCAAAACTTCTGTTTCTGCCCATTACAAACCAAGATACCCATTTTCTAGTACTGCAAAGTTATATGCGATTGATATCATTAAGATGTGGCCTAACTGAGTAACGAAATACAGGTTCGAGTAATACTCTTTGAATTACACTGCAAGTGCGGTAGAGATATCACCTAACGGCTTTAATAAAGTAGAGATCCTATAGCTTAAAGTCTAATTTCTAGACTTAGGAGCGTAAGTTTTAAAGTATACAGAATAGCCTAAAACCCGCACCATAGTCATAATGAACAAAGTGGATAAAGTAGGTGGTAGCTCTAGTGACAGAGAACGACTTACATTTTAGGATAGTAAGCAAAATTTAACTAGTGACTTTGAAATAAAATCACTTACTGACTCTTCGGCTTTTAACACTTCTTCAACATCATCATCATCATCAACATCTGATTTGTCGTCGTTTAAAGACGACTGTTTTTTCACTGGTGCAAACACTCTGACTATGGATGGTGAACTCCCTCCTGAATTCGCCCTTCCGGGGGATTCGACCTTCGCAACATTATTCAAAGCCGGAGAATTCGGTGTTAAAGATCGTGGAGAATCTGCAGATCCAATTACAGATGTACGCAATTGCGTTCTGCTGCTGTGATTAGTGACTATTTCCTGAAGACGAGTTTCCTGGGAAGTGTTTATAGTTTCTTTAACTTTTGACGAACCATTAACGTTGCGATTTGGAGTGTTGAGTGTTTCATCTGATACCTGGGATCCAAAACTAGTAAAATCAAATAAAACAAAATTAATCCAAATTTTAATTAGAACAAAACATAAGCTATCAATTAGAAATATTTCATACACGCCGATATAACTAAAATAGTCAACTAGTTTATCTATTCGGTAAACAATCTAATAGAGTATTCTGTATGCGGTAGAACTATGTTGTGATGATTTAACTTTTATTTAATATGCTACTTATTCGAAACCTGTTCAATCAATCGTCACTAGTAAAAGTCAAAAAGTCTTTCAAGGGTAAACATAATAAATGAAGGTGAAAGCCTAATACACAGGCATATACTTGATCAGTGAGTTAGATACTGTAAATAATTTATATTATATAGTTAATTAACCTCAGTAGAATCCAATTGAGACAGTGTGAGAGATTCTTACTATTTTTATTATAAATATCACTTTTAAATATAATCTATTTGCAATAGTCTTTTATTTATTTACCACTGGCAATGAAAAAATTTTCTTCTTAATACGCTAGAATGTGAAGTAGTTTTGTAGTGATGTCTCATTTTTGAGTTTTCGAATACTAATTGATTTATAAATAAAATATATTTGTAATATCCCAATGAGTGGAAAAACTAGATTTTCTGAAGTTTCGTGACTCAGTGTAAGTTACTTCATCAGAGAATAAATAATCAAGTCACACTGACCAAAAAGTATTACACGTCATATTACATAAATATTTTAGATACGTTGAACTGAAGTATGATCGTTGAGCTTACGTACTTTATTATCATTTGTAAGGTTACAGGTCTGTAAGAATTTTTACCAGTAGAATCTGATATCACACACTTCAAGAGATAGGAAGTGAAACCCGATATGCAAACATTTATATTCATGATTTTCAAAATAGAGACATAAAAACGAATAAAACAACAAAGACTGAGAGAAGGGACTGTGTAGCAGAAAAACTTATGGTGAATTCGAAGCATTCTGTATTTTTCGCTTTAAGCTGTGGTGAACATGTATCTTTCGAACTTGAGGAAAACAAAATCCTTAGTTAAACTCAGACTGAACGAAGAGGAAGTCCTGACTTATGGACTTTAAGTGGTGTTTGATTAATAAAACTCAGACTCCCAAAAACCTATACTACATACAGCAGCTGCACAGTACAACACGTCCAAGCCACCCTTATATTACATAGTGATGGCTATCTGCTACGATTATTTATTTATTTATTTGAACACGTGAATATTGGTACATGGGAGAACCAGATACATATGCGCCACACAAATCTCATTTGATTTGTGTGAGGGCTGTGATACTGTCCGGGCGCCCAAACCGAAGTGCGTGGTTGCCTTAAGGGGCCACACCCAGAGCCTTCGATCTAAAGGTCTGATCCACAAGGCAGTGGAGCATTGTAAGGAGATGTAGTCCCATGGTAGCCGGTGACCAACGATTGGTTCATACGCCATTTTTTCCCTCAGGATACTGGAGCCCATGTGCACCATTGGTTTGGAATCAGGGTTTTCCAACTCCCCTAGGTAGACTCTCCGTGTCCGCCGACCCGGCAAAAGCGCCGGACATTCGCTTTTCGTCCTCTCAATTCTGTTTCGATATGTCTTCTGAAATATATCTCGACGGTACAAATCAAGTACAAAGGATTAATTACTTCTAATTCAGCTAAGTACTGTTTTACTAGGATAAACGATCAAATAGTAACAGCTTTGAATAATCCATATAAGCATGTAAGCAAAGCACAAAAACTAAAACAATCATGCTACCATGAAGGCATGTTGCAACCGCGGACGTGTAAAATAGCAAGGAATCCAAAAAGCTTATAGAAGCACGTACATGCATGAGATTGAAAACTTCATATAAACAGTTAAAACTGACAGTTAATTGAATCTAGTTAACACAATTACTGGATATATTCATTATACAAACTAATAACAATAAATATTGCAAAGCCTTCTGTAAATCTAACAGTTCATACTCTAAGGATATTGAGAATTTAGCATTATTGAAGTCCTACGTAAAGACTTATTGGTTCATTAAAAAATTTCAGTCAGAAGACTGCGGAATACTGTTAATTTAATACTGTTAACAAACCATAGATGGAAGTACATGAAAATCTCATATGATCTCTAAACCTTATCTACAGTAAAAATACTCACAAACTATTCAAGCAGAAAGGCACTTATGCCTGCAACGTTCAGGTAGAATTATATATGCAGGAAATAGTACTTTCACAATGAAAAAAGAAAGATGAACCTAATAAAATTAGGTTAAGCAGGAATAGGATGAGATTATAAAAATGCTACAATGTAATTCATTTCGTACAGAAACGAAACAAGCACTTGTTCATAATAATGATAATACCTCGTTTTACGACTCTGTAAGACAGGTATTCTGCTTGACCTAAAATAAGAAACAAACAAAGTTTACGTAAACGGAAAAAATTACCAACACCAAAATTATCATAAATATAGTTCCCCTAGAACTTACTTATTACGTGAATTATTTGATGTTGAAGTAGATGAATCTAAAAGCAGGAACAAGAAGACAATAAAAGAAACGAAACAAACACTAAAAACGTCAACAACAGTAGAATTTTTACCCAAAAGTAAGAGGTTAGTCACAAGTTAGTGACTAAAAGATGACGTGACGTTTAAAGTAGCAAACTCATTCGGTAAGTGCAATCTCTTAACCTTAATTGATCCGTTTATTGACGGTTTAATCAACATTTCACTTCAGTAGAAGTCATACCATTAAAAATCAGTTTGGCTACTAATCTTCACACTTACTGGTTAAATATTGTTCTAAATGTATATTACCACTATGTCTTCACAAACGGGTAGTTTCCATAAAGCTAAGCACCAGTAGATAGTCTTACAATCGATAATACTAAGGTGTGCAGACAAGCAACTTCACTCATGCTCCTTTACCATAGATGAATGTAGTTAGAAAGGGTAGCCTTTTAAAATAGCGAACACTGCTTTTCCAACGATAAATTACGAGAAACAAACGACAAGGACAACTCACTGACTGACTGACTCACAAAAATATCGTGTGACTGGCACCGAACAGTTTCTCACTTCACACTTGGGATATGGTATTACCACGTGCTCTTTATTCCCGGCTTTTACTTGATTATAACCTCTTACTTTCGGTTATTAAACGCAATACTTGATATCATCCCTATGCTGTTGACTTGTTTTGCAAAACAGGGTATAGGTGATCAGGTAGGTATCCTCTAACGAAGGTGTGTGCAAGAGTACACATCAATAAGGAGAGAATTAATAAGAGCGAGCACCAAAAGGGTAATCTAATGGTGCAACGTAAATATTATTTACACTGATAAACTTTTACAACAGACTAATACGCTTAAACATGTGAATTCAAGTTTAATGTACTTCCATGTAAATAGTTTAGTATTACTGTTACCCCTGTTACCTTTTGACATACTGTTGTTAAACCACTAGGATGAACTGTCTGATTTTTAATTCAATTATTCTGTTCCGGTTTTAGTGTGAATGAAAATGCCGTAGCTACTATATGATGTATCATTTCGCTTAGTGAAAATGTCGGTACTTTATTCTGCTGATTACTCGCGTATTTACCTTAATTTTACATGGATAATTGCACACCATTAACCTAGTCTTCTGAATGATATTACGCAGATATCTAAGTCTTGACGCGCTGTTTTGATGATTAATTTCACGCGAGTACCTTCAATTAATCGTCATATCTCCATACACCCTTATTAGTGTACACCAGTTCAATCAAGATGTACAATGGAACTTTTCGTAAAGGAACTACATGGGAATGGCACGACAAAACCGCAACAAACATTTCGAGGGATGAAATAAAGTGCCGTAATTAATTGATCTAATAATACATATGACTATCTTACGAATCTGTATGAAGGTTAACCGTTGACAAACTGTGACTAGTCCTCAATGACAAACTTTATCACTGAGTTTAGTTCATTAAGTCCCAAAAAGACAATACTCTGTCGCACGAAATAAACGATGCTTGTTTACGAGTACACTTTCTTACCTGTTTCATCCATTTTCTGGTTCCGGAGATGTCTAAGTGTTTCAATCAAGTTCAGCAGCACTGGAGAGTTGCTTGGATTGCGTTCAGTAGGTAGGATGGCCATCAACTTATCTCGGTCAAAAAGTTCTAGATGTTTCTACAAGCCAAAGATTATAAACAACACCAAACCATCTGCGCTTCGTCCATTAGGACATTTAACGTATTTTCAAGTTTCATCATATTCATAAAATCCACCAGTAGGGACGCAATGATCAAGCCTTGCTAAAAATGAGTGAGATATGGAGTGCGTATACTATACCATCTTCTGTAGACCATAAGGACCGAATGGACTGGTTTGAAAGCGGTATTCCTTCGGCATAGTTGTGCTTTTCCAGAGCTAAGTACACTGCTGCCTTGAGCTGAGCCTAGTAACGAAACGTTATCAATATTACACAGGTACTTCAAGCTTTGGTAAAATACCCTCTTCGTTTAGGGACCTGATGAGAGCCTCCTTTAAATTGATTTCTTCATCTCCCATTGTATCAAGAGCGTACATGAAAAACAAAATATCCGAGGTGACTTCGTATTGCGTCCACGATTAATATGCTTAGAGGTGAGCAGTCTAGAAGACAAAGCACGGAAGCCATTGTTAGTTAAAGCTTAACTAGTCAACTGAAATACATATATTCGGTGCATGAAAATGCTTCTCCACAAGTGTTACGTAATTTACGGGATGGGATGAACGTTCAGTCCTGACAAACTGAGACGGCAATGTAACCATTTGAGAAGGCTTATCATCAAATAGTTGAGATTTAAATCGCACAACCACATATAAAAAGTTCTAAACGGAGCAGCTTTTATTCAATTCGAGAAATATGTGATGAGCACGTGGTCAGTTGGGTACCAAATATATCATTCATTCAACAGTCCCAGTGAAACACTATATAGAGATCGATGTTTGGAAATTCTATACAAAAAGATACCACTTAACTCTGAGTACACTGCTTCGAGTTTATTTCATAATCACGTACCGCGAACTCAGATATCTGAGTTCGCGGAAGATTCTTCCGAACAAAGAAACGAAATTACCAATTACTGACACACAGTAAACTTATAACGACCATTAAGAACCGGAGAAAATTCACCAAAAAAAGTAAATGCTTACAGTCAAATGGACAGGCCAACTTAGTGAACGACAACGCTCAACCTGTTCATTCGTTGTGAAGGTCAACAGGGCGAAGGTGTGTAGTGACCTACTTTTGTCTACAGAACGCGATTGGTTCGATGAAAACAGTTATTATTATAAACAATTGTACCAGTGACTGTTTTACTGTGCTCGTTTGTTTAACTGTGCTAATGACAGCCATTATACTTACTCTCCCGTTGACTTTGAACTTGTACGAATCCGGTTACGTTCAGTAACCACGCTTGTACTCCTTTGGCACGATCTCGGTATTCTTTCGATACCACGAGATCGCCAACAAATACATCTCGACAATAGCCATCATCTGCCTTCTGAATTTTGGCCTACCGGAATCTTATTAGTCTGTTGGCACGTAGTCTTGTAGCAGTGTTCATAGTCAAGCTCAACTCGACACCACGCTACAGGTGCATGGCGCCGTCTCAAATTTCAAAAGACAGACGGTTCATTGACTTACATTAATCATCCTAGCTGATCGTAATGAGAGACTAGCTGCAGGAGTGGAAATGATTAAAAAACCTCGTCGCAAACTTAAGTTCTGGTGCAATAAGGGTAAAAGTCATATAGTAGGCGACTTGAATGCATCGTATATAAACTGGATTATTCTAGAAGTAGGGTTAGTGATAACGTGATTCGACTGCAAGCTGTTAGAAATCTCGATTGCATTAGCTTTGTTCCAACACATTAGGAATCCCACAAAATATGACTTAAGAAGCTCCTCTCCTCTTTTGGATTTAGTCTACTCATACGGTAATGACGTCGGTCAAATGACTTTTCTCCCACTATTAGGGAGAAGTAACCGTGCAGTCATATTATTCTAATTGCCTCTTAAACAGTTGCGCCCGCCCCACTTAATATATGGAAGGCAGATATGGAGGTGATGAACTTCACAGCATATGCTAAAAACTGGGAAATTGACTCAAGGGTTTCAGTACAAGAGGCATGGACTCATTTCAGGCAGTTATACAATCGGGTAACTCAACCATACATACCCTGGACAGTCCAAAAGAAGAAGAAGCATGGCCATTCCTGAATAGGCCGGGATATTCAACATTCACTAAGACAAAATAAAAAATGTTGAAATGTCGCCATCAGCCTTGGCTTAGCAAGTACGATGGAACGCTACAGATCGGTAAGAAACACGTGTATAACAAAAATTCGGGAAGCTCAAAGAAAATATGAAATGCAGTTGGCACAATCTGCACTCAAGCAGCCCAAGAGACTATTCTCGTATATAAACTACAGAACAAGGATGCATCGTTGGATTCTCAACCTAATTAAAGAAGGGAGTGAATCTGAAATGATAGAGGAAGATCAGGAAAAAGCAGAGGCTATAGCTATCTATTTTAGGGCCATTTTCATTCAGGAACCTCCTTTAGACAAAGAATCGGACCCAAACACAAAATCAACAAACCACCTGCTCACCGTAGACTTCTAGCAAAAGAATGTACTTAAGGCTCCACCTGGAGACTAGTACTTAGTGGAGTATCTTAAGGTTTCTTCCAAGGTCCTTTACGTTTTATACTGCAAGTAAATTATCTCCCAAGTAAAGTAGAGTCCCCAATGTTATTATAAGCTGACGATGCAAAAATCTGGTGAGTAGTAACCGCAGAATCAGACGCATGCGCACTTCAGTCAGATTTAAATAATATGATTAGTTGGTCTAAAGAGTGGCTGATGTCTATCTACACCGCAAAGTGTGTCTACATGCACTTTGGGGATACAATGGTTGATAGGTACAGCATAGGAGAAGTACCAGTACTAGTGGTCCGGTCTCATAAGGATCTTGAGGTGACGGTGAGTCATAATGTTAAGACGACGGCCCATTGCCGGGAGGGCGCAACTAAGGAGTTTAGAACCCTATGGGCTTTAAAACGGACATTCACTAAGTTAGATAACACCATGTTCACTACAGTATACACAACCTTAGTGAGAAGTAATCTTGAGAACTGCGTTCAGGCTGCAAGCCCCTGTTAAAAAGGTTACTCGGATATACTGGAAAAAGTACAGAGGGCAGCTACCCGTGCAATTTCAGAACTCCGGGATTTATCATACAAAGAGCGACTGAAAAAGCTGGACCTTTTTACTCTGTCCTATCGCAGACTAAGGGAAGATCTCATTTTGTTGTGCAGAATAATGAGAAATGATTTTAAATCTAACTTATCTCTTTTTCTTTCCATTAGATCGGGACATTTCAGAGTACATAGCAGGAGAGTAGAAAAGCCAAGAACGAACAAAATATCTGTGTCATACAGGTTTTTACATAGAATTATCAATACTTGGAACCTGTTACCCTTCAATTGACTCATTCAAAAGAAGACTGGACACTCACAGAAGCGTACTAGAAAAGGATTAACATAGGTCGTAGGCCTTCCGTCCTTACTATGCAAATCTGAATCTGAGCTCCTTACAAAAATCCAGTCATTCAAATGATCGTTAACGAAAAAGGAGAAACTTTAGCCTACAAAACTTCCATTTCTAGTGGCAGTACTTCACCGATACCTTCAGCTAGGGACCTAGATATGCGAAACGAGTGGCAGAAAAGTGTTAGTAAATTAGTATGATATACTGTCCATAGTTAATAATATACCATGCTTCTTTTTTGAAAGACTCGAGTGTTTCTTAGACTATATTAACAGAAAGCAAATTACAGGACTTCACTGCTTGTGGTGAGTAGAATTAACAATTTACTGGTCGGTATACCTAGTTTTAGTGACTTGCCTTTTGATAAGCTCTAGAGTTCTGTTTTTCTTCTATGGGGAAGGACGGAACGCTGTAGTGTAGTGAACCAAAAACACCAGTGAGGACAATCGAATGTATTTGACACGAAATTACAGAGCATCTCAATAAAATCTCAGAACCATATAGTAACTAGGTAATTTGCATAATATCTATCCATCGTCTCAATCTTCACTGTTCCGTTTGCAAATATCAGTCTATTGTCTCAGATTTCATTGTTCAAGTATTCTCATATCAATTGCGTTCCATACCACACTCTTAAAAGGATGAAGGAGGCGGCCAGGGATTACATGGGAGGATGATTTTTATACAGTTAACCAAAAATGTTCTCCGTATTTACCACTGAAGTGCTTAACCTAAAGATACTCTTTGTCAGATTTGCCTTGGGATTTATGACCATTCAGTACACGAACACCTAGATATTCAACTGATGATCCTTCATAAGGGAAACTATCTAAGTCATATGTATAATTTGCTAAATGTCTCAGACAGACTAAGTTGCACTTTGGAGTGTTAAAATTAGGTCCATTGTTCACTGCTCATTTCAGAAACTCAGTAAGATTCTCCTGAACAGCTAGCCGATCGTTCTAGTTGCACACTTTCCTCTTCAGGTAGACATGGTCAGCGAAAAGCAATATCACAGAGAATGTTTGTTAAGAAGCATCATTCATAGAGCTTCCACAAGCTAGAGATTCTAATGTTAACCCATAGATATCCCAATGAAGCATTTTCTTGGCTGAGAATATGCAGCAGTCTCCACTGACCTTTAAAAGTCGTTTACTTAGACATATTTTAACCCAGTATATCAGTAATAACTTGATGTCTATCAGCATGAGACATGTTAGGAACCGTTGAAACCTACTTACGCCTATAACCCCTCGTAGAGGAACAAACTATGGTAAATATTCTGATTGTTTAGGGCACTCTTTGAAGTCTCATGCAAAGGAATTACCAGTGTGATTAACGGTGTGTACTTTGACTAAAGAAGTAGAATTTCGAGAAACACATCTCTTGTAATATCTTACTTCCTTACGCCTTTAACTCCTCTTCGAGTAACATAGGCCACCCATCAGCATTCTCCATCAAACTCTGTCCTGAGTAACCCCTTCTAGTTGCTACTCATCCTTTTGATACCTGCTTCCAATTGCCGATGCAGTGTGTTCTTTGGCCTTCATCTTTTTCATTTTCTTTCAAGATTCCAAATCAGTGCTTACCTCGTGATGCAGTTTGATAATTTTCTCAATGTGTGTCCTATCCACTTCCAACGTTTTTTCCTAATTTCATCTGCATCTGGAAGCTGATTCGTTCTCTCCCACAGTAGGCTGTTGCTGATGATACCCGTCCAACGGACATTGAGTATCTTGTGTAGACAATTGTTTATGAATACGTGTACCGTTTTGATGATGATTGTGGTAGTTCTCCAAGTTTCCGCTCCACACAGTACAACTAACTGTCATGACGTTCGTATTGAAGATTCTGACTTTGATGTTGGTTGACAGTTGTTTTGAGTTCCATATGTTCTTCAAATGTAGGAATACTGTCCTTGCCTTGCCAATCCTCGCCTTCACGTCTGCATCGGATCCTCCTTGTTCATCGATGATGCTGTCCAGGTACGTGAACGTTTCAACCTCTTCCAGAGTCTCTCCATCATGTGATTGGGTCGGTGCTCCCCATGTTGTATTTGAGGATCTCGGTTCTCGCCTTGTGTATGTTGAGGCTCATTGATGCAGAGGCTGCTGCCGCTGATACACTGGTTGTGTTGACCTGCATTTGTTGGTATGTATGGGATAGAAGGGTCAGGTGATCTGCGAAGTCCAAGTCGTCTAGTTGCATGTAAGCCCTCCATTGTATTCAGTGCTTTTGTCAGATGTCGAGGTCTTCATAGTCCATTCAATCACCAGAAGGAACAGGAAGGGGGAGATAGAAAGTTACCTTGTCTGATACCGGTCCTCACCTGGAATACGTCTGTCAGCTGTCCTCCATACATCAATTTGCGGTGTAGTCTTTTGTATGAATTCCGGATGATGTTGACGATCTTCTCAGTTATTAACACCATAGTTCCGAGAAAGGTTCTATGACAATCTCCCATTCAGGCAACCAAATGCTTTCACATAGTGGAGGAAGTTGATGTACAGTCACGAATTTCATTCAATTGATTGTTCAACGATGATCCATAGTGTCGCCATTTAGTCTGTGCACGACTGATCCTCACTGACTCTGGTCTGTTGTTCTCGAAATTGAGCGTCAACTAATTCTTTCATGCATTTCAGAAGCACTCTGTTGAAAACTTTTCCTAGTACCGATAGTAGTGTGTTGCTTCTGTTGATGAGGTCCATATTAGTTCCTATCAGCGGAAAGGATCGACTTTGAAAAATCT